CGTGCGTCTGTTCCTAATCAGCGGGGAAGCCCTTCCTAGAAAGCCCCAGACGCATCCCTCTCTCATTTCACTTGCCAGAAGCGAGTCACTCACGGCGTCCTCAGCCCAGCCCTGGCTGGAGATAGGTCCCAGTGAGTGGTTCGGACGCGTCGGGGTTGAGCCCTGAGTGAGTCGTGTGAGGTCAGGGCAGGCACCCAAGGGTGGGGGGGCTCTCTTGAAAGGCCCCTGGGTTTTCAGCTACGAAGTGAGGGGACCATTCCTGCCTGATTCTAAACACTTCGGCTTCTGGCATCTGACTTGTTCGTTCTGTGTGCGCACTGAAGTCACCACGTGGGTAAATGTATGCATTTCATTCACATGCAGTACGCTTTGAGCTATTTCTGCCATAACGGATTCCTTGTTATTCATGCTATTAATTTTCTGACCTGGTGTTAAAGTTACCAGATCAACAGTGTTTAGTCGACACCTCCTTCCGGACACTTCGCTAAAGACATCCCTGGGGTTTTGGATGTCCTGTGCACCCACCCCCGTTATGTGCCGGCCCCGGTCCAGGTGTGCTGAGAGTCAGAGATTCGCACCAGACTTCGAAGGCTTGGTGCGAGAGAAAGAGCAGAGCATCTTGTGGGGCAGTCCTGACGTGACTTTGTTATCAAAATGACAACTTGGGTATATCGGAAATTAAAATACAAGGGACTGCAAATGTTCAGGAAAAACGGAATCGACACACAAGTTTATTCTGGTATAAAAAATGGAAACTGATGCAGTCTTTATCGCTCCTTCCGAGAATCGAGGACCCCTTGTATATTCTTCACGTTTCCTCGCCCGTGTTCAGCCCTCAGTGTGGCCATCGGGACGGGCAACATGACACACACGGTCCACGATGTTCCATCCGAACGGTGCTGGCCTAGAGCTTGAAAACTTGTGGCACCCCACGAGACTTAGGCTGGTGGAAAAGTACAACCGTGTCTTCCTAAGGTTCCGAAACTCACTGCCGTGGGCACTGGCCAATCGGGGGAGGGGGTAGAAATCTCTAGAAAATAGTGCCGGAAAAGCTGAGTATTCACCTGCAGAAAGATGAAGTGGGCTCCTGTCTCTTACCATGAATAAAGATCAACTCTAAATGGATCAAAAATCTAAACCTAAGACCTCAAAGTTGTTTGCCGGCGAGGTGAGGGCTTCTGCGCACAGAGCTGGCCGAGGGGTCGGACCAGTGGCAGAGGGCCCTCAGAGGGACAGAGTGAGATGAGTTCGAGCAGCCTGTCCATCAAGGGAAGACCGAGGGGTTAGAACCCACAGGTGAACGGCCACCCTGCCAGAGCCACTCAAGTTCACCTCTCCCTCAGCCCAGACCAGCCCTGGGCTGCCCAGCTCACTGCTCACAGCTGGAGGTCTTTTAAAAGAGAGAGAGAGAGAGAGAGATTTGCTATAGGCCACTTGCACTCCCCGAAGAGACAGAGACAGAAAGCGAGAAATCCCCCCCCGGGTGGGGGGAGGCCACTCCACAACCCTTTCTTCATTCTCCTCTGGGGATCTTGGGCCCATGCACAAATACCCAGCATGACTTTTAAGCCGCTGAGTCCAGGACTCGAACCGCAGTTGACTGCGTGGGAGTCATATAATCATTACGCTGTTGCCATCCCCACAGCTGCAGCCTTCAAAGTGCAGTTACACTCCTGCGGGGTCGTCCTCGCACTCCCTGGAGCTCTGGGGTTCCTGAGCTCGCTGGTCAATGTCCTGCTCACTTTTGGTCACATTACAGTTTGAAAGAAAAAGAGGGGCCAGCAGATGGCGCAGAGGTTACGTTGCTGAACTCCCACACGGCTGGCTGCAGTTCAAGTCCCGGATTTGGTGGCCCAGGAGAATGGAGGAGAAGGGACTGGGGGTGTTCATCCCCGAGGGGAGATTTCTCACTTTCCCTCCCACTGTCTTTTACGTGACCTGAGGCAGAAACCTCTTTAGAAGAAGAAGAAGAAGAAAGCAGCAAGGAAGGACGGCATCTGGGCGGGCGCGGGCATGTGCAGGCCTTCTGTGCACGCGGTCCTGGGAGGGGCCACATCTGACGTGTCATCAGTGACTAGAGAGGTCACTGTCACCAGGCCGTTAGGCTGATGAGACACCCAAAGGTTTTATTTTAAATAAAAACGTTTGAAACGAAGTTCATTTCCAGCTGTACTTAGCTTTTAATTTTTATTCTCTTTGAATAGAACCAAAACATCAGGGTAAGGGTGCGTGCACAACATAATTCTAAGTCACAGCAAATTTGGATTAAGAGCCAATTGCACGTTATGATGGTGTAACACGCAGTTACAAACAGATAACAGCAACAAAATGCAGTGTAACTCCCAGATGGCTCAATGACATTGAATCACGGAAGCGTTTGTCATCAGTCAGTGAAAACCTGGAATACTGGCTTTCCGAACTGGAGTGATGAAATCGAAGGCAAGTTTGCAGGACTGTTTTATTATTTCTTCAAACAGGAAACTACTGGCAATTGGTGTGAAGTCATTTTCTATTTTTAAAATAATGGAGCATGAGACATGACCGTGAGTGTGACGGTCTCACCGAGGGAAGCCGAGATGAACCAGGGTCTGAAATCGGGGTAGTGGAGCAACAGCAGCACGCTCCTCTGCCACCTGCGGGGCCGCTGCTGCCGCTCCCTCCGGTTTCCCAGAGCGCTCGGTCCTGGCTGTTGCAGCACAAGCCCGAGCCGGGCTGCCTTCCGGAGGCGGAGTTCCAGAATGCCCCAGGTTTATGTGAGCAGGGGTCCTTTGGCCTGCCAGGCTCTTCAAATGCATTTTATCCATGATGGCGAACAAGCGTGCCGCGATCCAGTCCCTGCCTCCAGCTTGCCAGGCCCTTAGGCGCCGTGTGTAGCCTGGCACCCTTCATGTTGACTGGGCTGGGGTCCAGATCCGCGCCAGCCCTGTGGCCCCCAGCACCGCAGGCCAGCACACGCCACCTGTAGCATGGAGCCCGCAGAGCTCCAGTAGGTACGTGACGCCCGACTAAACGCACACCCGTGGTTTACTAGGGCTCATCTGCGTGGTCTCTCGCTTTCTGTCTCTCTATGCTCTGGCAAGTACAAGTGCCCTACAGAAAAAAGCTCTTAAAAATAATAAAGTATCTTTAGTTTAAACTAAATGGGGATTCATTTAAAAAATTTGAAAAAACACATTTTATTTTTTTAAAATTTTATTTACTATTATTATTTTTTAATTTGCTATAAGGCATGTGCTCACCAGAACGAGAGAGAAAGTGAGAAAGCAACTGCCAGGTCTGGGACTCGAACCCGTTGGGAGTCCAGTGCCTCACCACCACACCACTTGGTGGCCTAAAAAATCACCTTTTAAATAAATGTAATTTTAAGCTTTAAAACAGCATAGGACCTGGACCTGCATAAACAAATATATCGTTTGTATGTAAACAGATGTTTTAAAAATATATAACCATGCTCTAAAATATTTTTTAAATCACTTCATAATTTTCTCTATAGTATTAGATTTTCAGAGTAAAAGTCCTGTGAGTTGTGCACTTACCTCACCATGTCAGGGAGCTGAGCAGATTAGTAGTAAACCGAGGAAGAGCAACAAGTACACACTGTAAATGGGGGGGCTGGCCCGGAGCTAGTGGGTAAGGACCCAGATCCCTCGTGGCCACACATGGCTTGTCCCAGCCTGGGAGCTTGAAAACAAGCCAGGCGCGTGCGCATGCGTGTCCCAAATCCTGACAGATGGAGAGGTGGAGCAGGGACTGCTACGTGACCATGCCCCACCGGAGGGTGCTTTGTCTCAGTCCCTCTCCAACACACTTACAGTGGAGGTGCTTTGCGCGTTGCCCTGTCTCAGCTCACGCTCTGTGAGCACAGCAGCCACAGCCAGGTAAGGGGAACTGCCCCGACGTTCATAGGAAGCGTGCCTTTGTCACATGCCCCCCGCTACTACTTCAAGCTTTTATGTCTTTATAAACTTGATGGATTGGGTCATGGGAAAAATCATGTCATTTTTGCATAGAAAAACATAGCAAAGTTACATAGTGACTTTTCTGATGACCCAATATTTTCTTGCTAAAAACTTAGAGCAAGAAATGTGTGCTTCTGGCCGGCCGGGCAACACAGCCCTGCACCCAGCTCTGTCAGGCCAGCCTCAAGCCTAGGCCCACCCTGCCTCAGCCTGGGGGTTCTGAGCCCGGCCTTCAGGTCTGCCCTAGAATCGAACCTGGGATTCCTACGGGTCCCAGCGACAGACGCAGCGTCTTAGCTCTGGGCAGTGTGGCCGCGCCTGAATGTACACTTTTGGTAAGAAGCTTCTTATCACGGGGATCTGAAACCCAATTTAACAAGTGCAAGTCGAATTCCATTCATCACTAACAACTGCGCAGTGAGCGCTGGCGGGTCCAGGAGTGAACGCGATGACGTGGCCTCGCTCAGGGAACTGGAGCGTGTCAGGGTTGTTCAGCCTGGACATCCAGCCCAGCAAAATGTGGGGTCAAAGAAGGCCCAGGCACAGTCCCGACAGCCCCGAGAAGTGGCGGGAAGAGTGGAAAGTGGGAGAGTTCCTGGCACGGCGCGTCATGGGGCGCACTGTCATTCCCACCTTTGCTTTCCCGGTCGTTCTTGTATTTCTGAGTATGGTAATTAACACCCCTTGTCCCCGCAGTGCAGAAGAGCTTGGATTTACTCAGTTTTCAATTCAAAAGGGATTGAGATTCTTTTTGAAAAGAAAAATGAAGATCGTTGTGTCCAACTTTTAGAACCTTCTTCAAAGCTGACGTGTGACAGCCTCCATTCGGCCTGTTAATCTGGTGTTCGGCTTCATGAACTTTATGAAGTGAGCACGCTCACGCTATCCTTCCCACACAGAGTGGCTGGTTGTCCCTGAGCACCGCAGACTGGGAGGCTGCTAGGGAATGGTGGGGCTACCTCGGGGCTCCCTGAGTGAGCACCGCCCTGCGGGGGCGTGGGGAAGGAAGTCCCTGCTGAGGCAGCGCAGCTGCCCACCTACCTGTGTACACCATCCGCCGGCCCACAGAGGTGGACAACGGCGCTCGGTACGACACCAACGCCATGGCCGCAGCCTTCGCCTCAGCTCCAGGGCCAGGAACCTGCCCTGTGGGAGCCCAACCTCACAGTCCTGTCCCACCTGACCGCACCCTGGCTGCGTGGTCGCTAAGGATGCTCTGTGATGCAGACAGGTGCTCCTCCCGGGGCCAGCATTCCGGTCTCCAGGACACGGATGGCAGCGATGAGCCCCATCCCCGGGGCTGTGCCTGTGTCTGTCACATCAGATGGGGAGGACACGACCAGGCATCAGCTCCAGAGTCTGCCCTCCTCCACTGCCACTGTCACTGTCACCATCTACCAAGCTCTCCCGAAGAATGTCTGCAGAGATGCCGTACGGTAAAAGACAAGACGAAAAGCACAACTGTGCCGGAATGTTCCGGAAAACCCCAGCTAGGTAACAGTGACCTCTCCCCCAGGCTCACTCCTAGCCCTCCCTCGAGCATAACTTGTGCTGTGGTCAGGACGATTCATCCAGGACCCCCGCCCTGTGCAAGGCTCTGGCCCTGAGCCGGTTCCCACACGCCGGCTCTGCCCAGGTGCTCCTGTGTACGTGGGCCCCGCCACCTGTAGAGCATGTCCGCAGACCCAGCCAGGCCGCCCTCAGGCTCCTTCAACCTCTGCGGCACGCTACCAGCCCCTTTAACTCATCACTGCTTTAATTTTGTCACGTTTGATGTCTCTTCCATGAGTGAGAGGCAGAGAGCGAGACGCCCCAGTGGGCCTCGGTGCTGTGCTCCACCCCGTCTCCACCAGCCCGCGTTCGGGTCTCACCCAGAGTGCTCAGGAAGGTCTTGGCACCGGAACCTGCCATGCAGGTCGGCCTCACCGAACTCAGGCCCCCGCACCGCGGCCCAGCCCCCTCTGCGTCAGCCGTCTGTGCTGACCTTCCCAGACTGCCTTCAGGTCACCGTACACGTGTGTATCCGCGTTGTGGTTTCCAGCGCTCACTGTGCCGTAGAGAGTAGACGGCTGTGGGACAGACGTGGTGAACGGTTAATGCTGACCTGCCACCAATGTCGTGTCCACCACCTGGGGCCCGCGCAGCGCAATGCCAACGGCCACTTCAGACCCAGCGCTGAGTGCCTTCAAGGGCTCTCCGCTAACACGTCGTGCCTTTGGTGAGCTGAGAACTGAAACCAGGACACTGGCTGGACCGCGGAGAGTTTCGGGCATAGACAGAAGGTGGCCACCCAGGTGCCCTGTGAGGAAGGCTGTTGGCGGACACCCCAGCCAGCAGCCCAGGGTCTGTGGCTGTGAGGAGCTGCCTCTTCCATCCTAACCCCTCCCAGCTGGCTGTGTCAGCTGATCAAGGGAGGGGACAGTGAATTCAGCTGCCAGGGGACATGGGGCCCCTGGGTCGAGGGGGTGGAGCGCTTGCTGCAGGTCAGCATGGTCCTCTGCCCCATCCTGCCACCTCCCCTCCCGTTCCCAGGCTCATATCCCAAACAGCAGCTCATCCTGCTTCCAAGAAGCTGACCGGGACAGGTCGGCCGGCAGCACGGGCAGGTGCAAGTGCTATTTAATTGATTTGTTTAGAGTTTTTCCTTGGAGAGGTTTTTGCTATAGGGCGCGTACACTCACCAGAAAGACAGAGACAGAGAGACAGAAAGCGAGAAATCACCCCCCAGGGGGAATGGCCATGCTGCAATCCCTTCTCCATTCTCCTCTCGGGATCTTGGGTACGCATGCACACGCGCCCGGCGTGAGTTTAAGCCACCGGGTCCAAGACTCGAACTATGATTGACTACATGGGAGTCCAGCAATGTAGCCATTACACCAACTGCTGGTCCCTATTTAGAGATTATTTTCCCCAAGACAGAGACAGTGAGGGGCAGTGAGAAATCCCTCCCCAGGGAGATGGTCATGCCACAACTCCTTCTCCGCATGGTCCTCCTGGGTCTTGGGCACGCGCACACACACGCCTGGATGGTTCTCACAACTCCTTCTCAGCATGGTCCTCCTGGGTCTTGGGCACGCGCACACACACGTGGCCACAGATGGCCGGGGGACAGGGATGGTGTCGGGGTTCTGAAGAAATAACTGAGATTCGAGGCGCAGGAACCCCACACTAAGAAACAGCCATAACCCAAGTAAAATGGGAGGCCACAAAAGACTATTTGAAAATAGTTAATTTTATCGCTATGAGCCGTTTAACCACTTGGGGAGCTGGTTATTTAATCGTCAGGATTTTATTCTCAGCTTTATAAAGTGTACGGAGCAGAAGTCTGTTTAAGTCAATGAGATCCCAGATACATTACTTACTGTGGTGACTGCATGCTTAGTGTAAGCTGGAGAGAGGTCTGACAGCAGCTAGGTCATTTCAGGGAAGAATAGAAGCCCCGAGGGCCTGGCCCAGAGGAGCCAGCAGACACAGGAGTTTAAAACTTCCAGGACAGAACTGAAAGGAAAGTGAGGGCAGGAATCGCAGTGCCAGGAGAAGGCGGGGAGCCGAGATCGGCAGGCAGGCGGAAGCGAACCCAGCAGACACGGTGTATCCATTAGCTGTTGCTGCCTGACAAATTCTGCAAAACTTATTGCTTAAAGCATCTGACGGGACATGGGGCAGACAGCAGTGCTGCAACTGGACCGCAGTGGAAGGGACCTCCCCGAGTGCGAGGCCCTGCGAGGCGAGACTGGGGGTGGATGGCATGGGGACGCTGTTGGGCTGCCTGTCTCTGTCTGTCTCTGTTTATCTCTCCTGGAAGAGATAAACACATAAACATGGCGGCAGCAACCCTGTACAGTCTCCCAGCGTCTGTGGGTCAGAAACCCGGGCACTGCTCAACGGCTGCCTCTGGCTCTGGACCTCCCACGAGGCTGCAGACAGGCTGCCGGCCGTGCTGGGGTCTCACACGGAGGCCCCGGGGAAGGAGCCAATGCCAGGCTGGCTCGGCTGCCCACCCAGGGGACCGTGCACACACTTGCTCACAGCACTGCTGACTTCCTGGGGGAAGGATGTGATGGGGCGCTGGCAGAGGAGCCACGGGCATTTTGTAACCCACTTTTAAAAATGAAGCTTCTTTATTTCTTTCATGAATGGGGAAGGGGCACGGGGGGGGAGGGGGTCACAGGGCCACAGAGCACCTGCCCTCCACAGGCACCCGGCGAGACGCTCTCAGCAGGCAGTAGCTACAGGGCACCCCCCCGGGCC